CTCGACAGGGTCAACGGCGTCTACCTGGGACACACCTGAGGGGGCAGGAACCTGAGGGGGGAGGGGGTCTACCGGGGGGGGAAGCGGTACCAGGAAGTCCGGGGGAGAGGGGGGGGAGGGAGTACGATAGGGGAAGAGACGGTAGAAGGGGACTGACTCGTCGAACGTGACGTCCTGGGAGGACAGAACACGACGAGAGGAGGGGTGGTAAAACTGCCACCCTGGGGCGTCAGTGGGGAAGCCAAGGAAGACACAGGGAGCAGCACGAGGGGACAGCTTGTCCGCAGACAAGTCGCGGACAAACGCCCGAGATCCCCAGACACGGAACGCAGACGCATCGCCAACCTTCCCTGTCCACAGCAAGGCTGGGGACATCGCAGGCCTAGAGACCCGGGGGTGAAGGTTGAGCTGATGCGCCGCGTACCTCACCGCGAACGGCCACAGAAAATGGGGGGCAGCCGCATGCATCATGGACGTACGAGCGACATCCATGACCATGCCAATGCGGCGCTCAGCAATCCCATTTTGCTGTGGAGAGTCCGGAAGCGTGAAGGTCTGGCGGATCCCTCGTGCACGACAGTAGTCTCGCAGAAGGCGAGAGGAGAACTCTCCGCCTCTGTCCGAGTGCAAACGCAGAACAGGAAAGTCCGAGCCGAAGCTCTGCCTGAGCTGGAGACGAGCCTCGCGGATCCAGTCGATCAGCACCTCAGTGACCGCACCCTTGCTGCGCAAGGGGAGGACTGTGGTGTAACGCGAGTAGTCGTCAACCACCAACAGGAAGTAGCGCTCGTAACCCTGCCCACGGACGGGGGCTGGGCCCCACACATCCATGTGAAGCGTCTGCAGGGGAGCCTCTGTCGGGGGGAAGTGGGAGGAGTGAGGAGTAGCCCGGAGGCGACCCTCAACACAGGGGACACAGGAAGGTCCTGGCCCGGAGGGGAGAGGAGGGAGAGACCGGGGAAGACCAGAGACAAGGACACGGGAAGCCATGCTCCGAAGACGGGGCAAGGAGGGGTGGCCAAGACGGTGGTGCCACAGGAGAGTCTCGTGAGACAGGAGACGACAAGAACAGGGGGCAGACTCAGGACCTGACCGGGACGCAGCAGCAAGCTCCTGACCTGACGCAGCTACCTGACCGGACGCAGGGACAGGAGGAGACGAAGTGGTCAGGGTGTAGAGACTCGACCCCGGCCGACGCGAGAAGGTGGCCAGGTGTCGGCCTGTGCGTGCGTCCGTGCAGTGGGTCACCCGCTGACTCGCAGGTGTGAACTGGTGAACCCCCGCATCTTGGAGGGCTGCACCACTCACCAAGTTCGTCGAGAACGAGGGAAGGTACAGTCCAGACAGAGCACCCGAAGGGGCAGCCGGACACGGGAGGACAGTGGAGAAGTGAGACAGGACAGGACCCCCAGAGGGGTCAGCCAGGGAGACCGCAACCGGCCGGCCAAGCGGCGTAAGGGTAGTGCGGTCTCGAAAGAAGGAGCGAGAAGCTCCGGAGTCAAGTGTGAACGTGAGGGAGGACGAGGACGACTTAGTACCTGAAAGCGCAACCTCACCAGTACCTGAGAGCGCAGACGCACTGGCACCTAGAGCAGCAGCCTCACAAGCACCTAGCGCAGCAGTACCAATGCCCGGGTCGGGCTGGAAACACCGGTAACCCTCATTCTCCTCACTATAAGTCACAGCATACATAGCAGCAAGGATAGCATCAAAATCAAGATCAAAGATCGCTACACCAGCCCTAAGGAGCTCATCCCAACGAGGGATCTCACTAGCCCCGGGGAACTGCTGACGCCAAGCGTCCGTAAGGCGGCCAAAGCAGCGCGCGGTGGCGTGGGCACCCCCACACTGCTCACCCGCGCGGTCGCCGGAACGAAGAACGTAGGTGCAGGGACCAGTACCCCCACCCCTCTGGCGCCCAGCGTACCACTCACGAAGCTGCTGGGGCGGAGGGATGTCACGCGAGCGCTGGTGCTGCTGCCGCTGCGAGCGGTGGCCACCACCACCGCCACTACGCTGCTGGGTACCACCCCGACCAGCTCCGCTCCCTCCACCACCACCTGCTCCTCCGCCGCCGCCTCCACCGCCTCCACCGCCTCCACCTCCTCCGCCTCCGCCCCCGCCGCTGCCACCTCCACCACCGCCGCCACCACCACCACCGTCTCCGCCACTGCTGCCACCTCCACCACCACCACCACTACTCCCGCCGCCACCCCCACTCCCACCGCCGCCACCGCCGCCACCCCCACCGCCCCCTCCAGCTCCACCCGCGCCCTTGCCCCCCTTGCCCTTGCTGGAGCGACGTCTCCCACTAGGGGCAGACGCCGCGCCGACCGACTCAAGACCAAGCAGGTCGGCAGCAGCAGCAGAGGCAACAGAGGGCAGCAAGGGGGAAGGAGAGCACCCCTCAAAGATGGGGGTGCGAGGGTCACCACGAGAAGCCCCTACAGCAACTATGCTCTTCTCAGCTGAGAGGAGGGCCTTCTCGAGGAGGTCGACAGTGAGAGTGGTGGGACAGACTGCGAGAAAGTGGTCCCTGACTACACGAAGGGAGTCAGGGAGGCGCGCGACTACGTAGTAGAGAGTGATGTACATGGGGGGGGGGTTCTTAGCGCAGAACTCAGCAGGAAGGGCGGCGCGGTAGCGAGTGTCACTAGTGCGGAGGTGCGTAACGAGGTCAGCGACAGTGGGAAAGGCAGAGAGGTCAGGAAAGAGGTAGGGAAGCATGAGACGGCTCAGTGCAGCAGTGGCAGGGGAGGAGTAGCGCGCAACTACAGCGTCGTACAAGGTCTGAGCACTCTTGTACTGACTAAAGTGCGCGCGCTCAGAGGTAGGGAGGTGGCGACGCACAGCAAGACGTGCAGCAGCATCGCGGGTGGCCCACTGAGAGCGGACAGTGGGATCAGCATCAGCAGCAGGAGCAGGAGAGGCGCCAGAGGTGAGGTCAAAGAGAGAAAGGCCGTCAGCTCTGTCGCACTGTAAGAATAGCTGCAGGTCATCTAGCCAGACCTCAAAATCGATGGCGCGACCCTCAGCGTCAAAAGCTAGGACACTAGGAGTGGCCATAGCGGCGACAGCGAAGCAGTGCAAGCAGTAGGGGACGAGCACGCAGTGGCAGTGGGACAGTGCTCACCAGGCAGGGCAGGCCGTGGAGCTCGACAGAAAAGCAGAACTGCGACCGGGCGGCTCGGGTGTACAGCGGCTCGGCTCCCGGGCGGCTCGGCGGCAGGGCGGCTCGGGTGCAGGGCGGCTCGGCTCCCGGGCGGCTCGGCGACAGGCGGCTCTGGTGCAGGGCGACTCGGCTCCCGGGCCGCGCAGCGGCAGGGCGGCTCGGGTGCAGGGCGGGGATGCCGCGACGAGGTGGCGGCTGGGGCCGCGGTCGAGCAGGCGGCTGAGGGCCGCGGTAGAAGCGGGCGGCGGGGCCGTGCAAGCAGGCGGCCGGGGCCGCGGTTGTGCAGGCGGCTGAGGCCGCGGTAGAAGCGGGCGGCGGGGCCGCGGTCGAGCAGGCGGCTGGGGCCGCGGAAGCAGCGGGCGGCGGGGCTGCGCGAGCAGGCGGCCGGGGCCGCTGTCGTAGCAGGCGGCGAGGCCGCAGAAGTAGCGGGCGGCGAGGCCGCGCGAGCAGGCGGCCGGGGCCGCTGTGGTAGCGGGCGGCGGGGCCGCAGTCGTAGCAGGCGGCGGGGCCGCGCGAGTAGGCGGCGGGGCCGCAGTCGGAGCAGGCAGCGGGGCCGCGCGAGTAGGCGGCCGAGGCCGCGGTTGTAGCAGGCGGGTGGGGCCGCTGAAGTAGCGGGCGGCGAGGCCGCGCGAGCAGGCGGCCGGGGCCGCTGCGGTAGCGGGCGGCGGGGCCGCGCGAGTAGGCGGCGGGGCCGCAGTCGTAGCAGGCGGCGGGGCCGCGCGAGGAGGCGGCCGAGGCCGCGGTCGTAGCAGGCGGGTGGGGCCGCGCTAGCAGGCGGCTGGGGCCGCGACTGAGCGGGCGGCCGGGTCGCGTGAGGGAGGGGCGACACGAAGGGTCGCTCGAAAGCGGAAAAAAAAGTGAGCGCGCCTCGGGGCGCGCTTCGGTGGGCCCTAGGCAGAGTTCCACAGGGAACCCGCTCTATACCATGTGAGAGTTTGAAGAACTGGAAAATGTGATGACTATGAACAAAGTGGGTACAAATAGGAAACCCTAATTGGGTTGTACCCCTTATGGGATACCCCACTACAGCCTACACAAACATGTAAGCTATATGTTCTGACACAAATTACAATATTGTGTAGGCTATAGTGGGGTAGCCCATATGGGGTACACATTGCTAGGGTTGCACATTTGTATCACTTCCCTTCATAGTCGTTCTACTTTCCTCAGGTAGCCCTATTACAGCTACCGTAAAGTGCCACCTATAGGACCCGGGGGACTCTCTACAAATGCTGGAAAAAATGCTAGGGTGGACATTATGGCGCTTGCAAATTTTTAAGACCCGGGGTACACTGATTTGTCTATTAACATTAATGGATTTACCATGTACAAGCTCGGTAGGGGGGGGGGGGGTGGGGGGAGGGGGGGGTCTTATATTTTTCGCGCGAGAATCTTTAGCTTGGTGCCCCACGTGCGCATCATCGGGAATGACACGCAGCGAAAATCAGAGCACGGGGCGGACTGAACGGCGTTTGCCCCGCACCTCACGTCCTCTCGACGGTGTTTCCGTTAAGATGGGCACGTCAGGTGGCCCTTGACCACCCCATCATGTCTCTGTGGCAGAATGGGTACTGGACGTGAAGCACTAGAGTTTCACGTCCCTCACTCTACCGTACACGCAAGCTTTCATCCCCTCCCTCCCTCTATTTCAGATCTTGTCCGCCCGGCTAGCTTCTTACCCATCTAAATAGCCCGCCATGGCGCCTGCCATTTAGTGAACCATAGGTCCTTAGAGCTGTATCAGCTCTTCGCCATGTCGACTTTCGAAAGCCCATGGCATTCTCGCAGTATGGCGGTAGGAAGTGGGTCTGGCCAGCCCGCAATCATAATGATCACAAGCCCGGCCCCGCCAGCTCCTCCAGCTCCTCCCGCACCTCCGGCACCCCCTGCGCCTCCGGCGCCACCTGCGCCCCCTGTGCTTCCCCCGGGCTTCGTTGACTGGCGCACCACTCCTCCTTTGGACCCGCTCGAGGAGGAGGGGTTTCCTGAACACGTCGCTGAGGACGGTGAGAACGAGACGAATGCCGAGAACGAGAACATGGAAGACGACGTCGGGGATTTCCCGATCCCTACGTTTCCGGATGACTTGATCCACAACGAAAACGAGCCTCGCTCCAACGTTGACGGTGCTCCAGCAGTTCACAACGCCCGCAAGACTAACCACCGTCGCACTACGCGAACCATGGGTGAGAAGCACGAATGGCTCGCGCGGATGGACGATGAGAAGCTCTCTGTCCGCGCCACTGCACGTCTCGCCGGGGTGCAGCCTGTCAGCGTCCGCCGGTGGATAAGGGCGGCGGATCGGATTAAGAAGGCGGCACCGTCCAGGCGCCAACTCAGTGGTGGAGGGAGAAAGGCGAAATATCCCGACATGGAGGCGCATACCTACAAGCGGCTCCTGAACTTCCGCGGACGTGCCTTGGCGGTGCCTATTCGTCTCATCAAGCACTGGAGCCGGTGTTACATGAAGGCGCATTACCCTGATGTGAGGTGGATGGCGTCCAACAGGTAGACCTTCCACTTCCGCTAGCGTTTGGGCCTCTCCATCTGCGTGAAGACGAAGATGGGTCAGCGTATGGCATCGGGTGAGTTATCTTGTGCTTCCCTCCGTGTGTGTGCTGGTATAGTTTGCTTGGCGACATGTAACACTAATGCTTAACCCACCGCCGTCACTAATGTCCTTCTCCCGCCTTGTCCGCGTCCGTGGCAGAGTGCAAGCAGAAGTGTGAGAAGTTCTGGGCGTTCACGAGGAGGAACATAATCAAGCATGGCATAGACGCACGGAACATTATAAACGCCGACCAGACGCCCGTTTTCCTGGAGATGCCGCACGAGCGCACCCTGCATCACCGCGGAGAGAAGACGGTGCACGTCAGAAGCGCAGGCTACGAGAAGGACAGGGTGACTGTCATGCTCGGGATCACCGCGGACTGGCGCAAGCTCCCCGCCATGGTTATCTTCAAGCGCAAAACGACCCCGAAAATTCGGGTCCCTACAGGTGAGTTGCTAGAGTTGTAACCATCACGGTAGTCTCTCTTCGTGGTGGATTTCTAACCACGTGCGTTGTTTTCTTTGCAGGAGTCATTGTTCGTGCGCAGGCAAAAGGCTGGATGGATGCAAAGCTAGTGGATGATGGGGTGAATAACGTTCTGCTGCCGTTCATCAAGCCTCCGCGTGGCATCCGGCGTTCCAAGACGCTTCTCGTCGTGGACTCGTACCGGGGCCACCTCACCGACGGCGTTCTCACCAACATGAAGTGGAACCGCGTAATTCCGGCCATAATTCCCGGGGGCTGCACCCCACTGCTACAGCTCATTCAAGGCACTGCTCCGTCAGCTCTACAATGACTGGTTTGCCGAGTTTGGCGTCAACACATTCACGAAAGTCGGTGAGTTTCGGTGCCGTGCTTAGTACCTCGCCTTGTGGCGTGTTTGTAGCTGGTTGTTGGCTTTATGATAACTCCCCGTGTGCGCCCCGTGCCTGTTCTTTCCTGTTTACATGGCAGGCAACCTGAAGAAGCCGCCAGCAGAGACGGTCCTCAAGTGGATTGCGAGTGCTTGGGCAGCCGTCCCCGAGCACATTATTGAGAAGGCGTTTCTCACGACAGGCATCAGCAACTCGGTCGATGGGAAGCAAGATCACCTCGTCCTGGCCCACATGCGTGATGCGGGCGAGGTCGAGGTGGCACAAGACGTGCACGTCGCCCCTGAGGTGGAGGAGTGGGTGAACCCACTGTTCGCCACAGCCGCGGAGGATGAGGAGGCGACAAAGGCTGCGGATGCTAAGGATGCCGGGGACCTGGAGGAGGAGGAGGAGGAGGAGGAGGAGGAGGAGGAGGAGGAGGAGGAGGAGGAGGAGGAGGAGGAGGAGGACGACGACGACGACGACGCTGACGACGATGTGGATGACGAGGAAGAGGAGGCGGAGGGTGGGCTGGAGGAGGACGCGAACGCTAAGTGCTTGATGGAATCTAACATGACCAAGCCGTAGTTGTAGTGACCACTAGGTGTTGAGATGTGTATGTAGTACAGTAGGTAACAACGATAACAATGTTAACTGCACCAAACTCAATAGGGCCTTATATGGAAAGGGGGGGGTCTTATAATGATTAGCTACAAAGGGGGGGTCCTCACAAAACCTGCCACAATAAGTGTCAACGGGAGTTTTGTGTTGGCCCCGTCCACGCTTGGGCGGAGCCGACTTCGTGGTCGGGTGTGAGGGGAGCAGCCGACCTGCAGCAGTGGGCGAGCGGGTCGACGAGGAGGTCGACTTGCACGGTGACCACTGCACGGGCGCCGACTTCGAGGTGGCGCCAACTTCGGGGAGGTCGACTTAAGCGTCGACCTGCGGAGGACGTCAACTTGATGACGTCGACTTGGGAAGCCGACTTCGGTGGTCGGCTGATGTGCTGGTCGACCTGCGGGTGGTCGACTAGACCCGGTGGTCGACGAAGGAGGGGCCGGCGTCGAGTAGTCGGTCGTCGAGCAGTCGGGCGTCGAGCGACATAGTCGACCGAGGGGCATGGTCGACCCGGTGAGGTCAAGGTCGACAACGAGGTGGTCGTCGACTTGGGAGGTCGACGGACACGTACGGGAGTTGCTGGTCGATGTGGTTGCCCGGTCGACCAGGTTACCTGGGTGACGAAGTGCTGCGGAGGAATGCGACGGTCGCCCAGGCGGAGTTGGCGAGACCGACCTCGGTGGTGGTATCCCGAGGTCGACGTGGCGGATCAGAGGCAGCCGTCAGCCCGAGGCTGACGTGGTGTGTGTGCTGTGCAGGTGATGAGGCTCGGTATATCAATCATCTGCACGCATCTGCAAAGCGGGTGCATTGCTGGCACACCGTCGACCTGCAGCGTTGGCAAGCTGTCGACTTTGCACTGCTGGAACGCGGTCGACCAAGTCGTGCTGGAACGCGGTCGACCATGCTGTGCTGGCAGTTGACCAACCTGAATGCTAGCTCTGATGCAGTCTTGCATTGCCAACTTCATTGTACCATTGTTGTGATCTTTTCTTAGTGAAACTCTTGCCAAATTGCCCCGTGAACTAGCAAGCAGTGTGAGCACTAGGAAAACGTCTAAGGACCAACGAACGCAGATATCACACAAGCACACGTGCCTAGCCAGTACTCTAAGCTCCCGTTGTAGTAGTTATCTCCGCATGGTGCGGTGAGCGTGGACGGCACACGACTTACCTTTCAGTCAGGTCGACGTAGACACCACTTACCTATTTCGTAGTTACAGGCCGGCAACTGTGCGGTAGTCACTATGGTAGGAGCCGTAGGTGACGCGGGGGTGGTGGACACCCTGGAGGCACGGTTGGAGAACGCGAGGAGGAAGCATGAGGCCAATGAGTATGGCGACCTGCCCTGGGCGGTCGTCGAGGCTGGACTCCGCTCCACGTGGGCGACGGAGCACCCGTCTCGACCTGCTTCCCCTCGTCCGGTGAACAACGAAGGCGGTGTCGACTTGGGCATCAACGCCGGTGGTGGTCAGGTCGGCAGCAGTGCTGGAGGCACGTCGAGGCAGAGAGGTGTGATACACGCCGGTGAAGTCGGCGGCGTTCAGGCGCGAGGGATGCAGTCGTCGGCGGCTGCAGGCTCCTCGCAGGGTGACGTTGGAGGTCGACGGAGTGGGCTGTCGCGGATGTCGGCGTCCCAGGTGACAGCAGGTGGAATTGCGCCGAGCTACGGCTACTTCAAGTTTACGCCGGACAGGATCTCGGTCACCCCCCCACTGGTCGGTCGACCCGACATTCTCACCTGGAAAGAAGCTATCGAGCCCCAGCTGGAGATGGCTGGGCTGATCGGCTTCGCCCGAGGGACTGTGGCGACGCCTGGAGAACACCACCCCGACTTGCGGGCGGAGTTTCGCGCCGTGCAGCTGCTGACCTTCATGGTCATCTCGCGGTGCTGCTCGCCAGGGGTGCAGATTGCCTTGAAGTGGTGCCGAGAGTACATCGACGCCGGCCACCGGGCGTGGCACTTCATCGAGTCGACGTACCAGGTCACCGACGACCTTTTCATCGCCCAGCTGGAGGGACAGCTGACGCACCTGCGTATGGGTGACGATGAGACAGCGACCGACTACTGCAACCGGGCCCGGCGAATTCTCGCCACCATCAGGATGGCCGGCGCGCAGTACTCCACGGCGTCGTACATCACCCATGTCATGCAGGGACTCTCGAGCAGCTACAACCTCCTGAAGCGGCTATCCATGGCGCCGAGCACGAGGGCGACGCTCAACGAGGACAACTTGACCTCGTACATCCTGCAGGACGAGGCAATGCAGGAGGCTGAGCGATCGCATGAACTCTTGGCGCACGCCAGCTTCAGGCGAAGCAAGGAGGCCGACCAGGAGAGCGCGGACAGACTGGTGGCGGCGGGAGCGGTGGCTGGAAGTCGGCCAAGGAGGTCGACAAGAAGAAGTCGACCAAGAACAGCGGTCGAGGAGGAGGAGGTCGACGACGGGAGTGCTGGCTGTGCGGCGACCCCGACCACCTCTCCTTCGAGTGCCCCGACCGCAGTGACTCCGATGACGACGACGCCAAGGGAGGCCGCGGGAGGTCTGACAGTCGCCGTCCTCGTCGAGGAGGAAGCAAGCCGCGCAAGGAGAAGCAGTCAACCAAGACGTCGACTTCGGCGAAGGACGCCGACTCCCTTGCTGGCGGCAAGACGCGGGACGACAAGACGGCGTCGTGCTCGCTGGTCGGCGTCGTGGAGCCGATCGTCTCGCTGGCACCAGAGGCCGGGGAGGACTTCCAGGCGGTGGCGGCAGCTGTGCAGGCGAACCCGGAGGTGGTCCTGCTCGACAGCGGTTGCTCCCACCACCTGATGGGGACGAAGGAAGCCTTCGTCGACCTGCAGCCGAGCGGCTTCATCAAGCACGTGCGCGGCTTTAATGGGGCGCTGCAGGATGTCCAGGGCCGCGGCACCGTCGCCCTGCAAGGGGAGGCCGGGAAGCAGGTGCTCATCCCCGACGTGCTGTACGTCCCAGGTGTGCGGGCGAACTTGCTGTCGTCCGGCCAGCTGAAGGAGCACGGTGTGAAGCTGCAAGAGGACGGCGACGGGATGTTGCTCATCTCGGCAACGGGAGAGGTACTCAGACGGGCGACGTACTCCGGGCGTGTCCTCTGCACCGACCTGCGTCCCTGCCCAACGATGCCGACGTCGACCACGCCGGAGGTTGTGGCCCTGCGGGCGATCGTCTCGAAGACGAAGTCGACGCCGGACCGAATGCATGCGAGGCTTGCACATGTCGGCATGGACACCATACGGAGCTCGGCGAAGAACGAGGTCGCCATTGGGCTGGACCTCAAGTCGGGGACGGGCGCCGACTCCCCGTGTGTCTCGTGCGTCGGCGGGAAGCTGGCGCGGCACACCTTCCCCAACCAAGGCTCCGACGCCGACGACGTGCTGGGCGTCGTGCACATCGACCTGTGCGGGCCATTCCGCGTGGCTGCCAAGGATGGCAGCCTGTACTTCTTGCTGCTGAAGGACCGCAAGACCCGCTATGTGTGGGTGAAGCCGGTCGCCAAGAAGTCAGATGCGTTGCCGGTGTTCGTGCAGTGGCTGGCGGTGGTTGAAGGGCAGACGAAGAAGTCGGTGCAGATGCTGCGCTCTGACCGGGGAGGGGAGTTCCTCGGGAAGCAGTTTACCGACTTCGTGAACGGCAAGGGGATCGTCCATGACCTGACCTGCCCATACACCCCGCAGCAAAACGGCATGGCGGAGCGGGAGATGAGGACGGTGGTGGAGTCGGTGCGGACAATGCTGCTGCACATGGGTGTGCAGCACCACTGGTGGCACCTCGCTCTGCGGCAGGCCGTCTGGGTCCGCAACTGCCTCGAGAGGTCGACGCTGCCGCCGGGGACGACGCCGTACCAACTGCTGACCGGGAAGAAGCCCGACTTGTCGCTGGCGCGGGTGTGGGGCTGCATGGCGCAGTTCTTAGTCCCCGAGCAGCAGCGTGGTGGGAAGCTGCAGCCGAAGGCAAAGCGGGGTCTGCACCTTGGTGTGTCGACGCCGAGCAAGGGCTGGGAGCTCCTCGACGTCGACACCGACCGGGTGGTCACCACGTCGGACGTGGTGTTCTACGAAGAGATGTCGCTGACCGAGTGGAAGACGGAGTACGGGTCGGTGTCCGGCCGCTCGTTGCCCGCTCCGCCCTCTAACACCTCGTCGGCGACGCTGCCACTGCTTGCCGAGATCGGTGAGCTTCCTGTCCAGGACGTCGAGGACGTTCGCCCACCTGCTCCTCCTCCAGGGAACCCCGCCCCTCCCCTCGTGGTTGATCTGCGTCGGTTGACCTTGGTGTCGGCCTCCGGCGATGAGGGGAGTGGTGCGACGCCGCCTTCGGCCAAGTGCATCGCCGGTGGCCGACGTGACGAGCGGCAGGGCAACGTGGGATTGCATTCAACGTCGACAGGGGAGGAGCAGGTCGAGAAGCAGGTCGAGGACCAGCGGCCGACAAAGGAGCAGGCAGCAGTGACGCCGACCAAGGAGCGATGGGCGACCGGGCAGTCGGCAGGGGAGCCGACCATAGGGGAGAAGTCGGCTGGGACGCCGGCTAAGGAGCAGCAGGACGTCGAGGGCAGCGGCAACGATGGAGGGGACGCCGAGGAGGTCCAGCCAGGACCACGGCGTTCAGGCCGACTTCGGAGGCCGCCTGACTTCTTCGTCCCCGCTGCCTTCACCACGGTGTTCGCCGTGGACGATGAGGCCGACGACCTGCTGTACGACGATGTCGAGGAGGATGAAGAGTTTCCTGAGCTCGACCCCGACATACTAGCCGACCCCGAGCACCGTTGGGACATCTCGACGATGACGGTGAAGGAGGCATTGGCGAGCTGGAAGGGCCCGGCGGTGAGAGCCGCCATGGAGGAGGAGATTCGCAGCCTTCTCAACATGGGAACGTGGGAATTGGTCGAACACCCGCCGGGAGTAAACGTCATGAAGAACCGGTGGGTGCTGACGACGAAGTACCACGTCGA